CAACCACACAGCGACAAAGGAAAGGAAGCAGTGACGAAATATGAGGGAACACGGGATGTCACAACTACATGCTACATTTGACAAGCCAAATGAAACTGAAAGACTTTAGTTGCATGTCATATTCACGAGTTTCAGAAAATCACCAATTCATCTCCAGATTACAGCCTTTAGCACAGACTGAGCACATCACAAATACCAGATGTATAAGTAAATTTTCTAATAAAACTATATAATTTTTTTACCATTATATAATCAGAATCGATTCGCATGAAAAAAAGATGCTTTCTTTCACTGGCAAAATGACTGAATAATTATACGTAATAATTACGTAATATAACTATTCAATATAGATAGAAATAGAACAGTGATCAATACAGAAACACCAAAAATATACATAGACATATAATACAAACAAAATACAAATGGATAAGTTGCTGATAGCAGAATATCAGATGTACAGTTAAACTTTGATGTTTAAGCGATAAATAATAAAGAAAATCAGCTTCTTAAACGTCGTTCGTAACGAGCAAGAAGTGGCTCTAGCTAACAAAATGATACGAGAAGCATCCGGTACTGTGAGAGCTAAAGGAGCTCAAATTCCATTTAATTATGACCTGCTCAAATGCACCTTCTCCCATCAGAGACAAGTAGTATCAAGGGGCGGTGTAATTCACCGCAAAATCTGGTCTTTGAGTAGTCAGGAGCATGGCTGTGACAGAATGAGAAATTTAGAAACTGCTCGGAAGTTATCATTTCAAACAGCCACAATAAACGTTGTACCTCGTGACAGCTGACATGAAGAAGCGGTATAAACAGTCTCAGACAATATCTTGATAAAAGTGATAACTTTGAAGCATAATACACTGTTTAGTTTGATAAAAGTCTGATACCGTAAACGAACGCGCATGATTATCGATGCTAGTCGCTTCAAGCATTAGAGTATCGAAAATCCAGAGATGTTTATACGCTTTCAGCTAGGCATTCAGAAGAAATAATAGCCTCAGATCATTCAAGCAGCCGCGCTGGCATCAGCTACAACAGCTATTTCCGCTAAGCTAAATATATTAAGACATTAATAACAGCTTTGATGAATCATCAAAGATGACCAACAAAACATGAATTAAGGATTGTATCTTTTAATGTTCAGTTTAGTTTAGTTCAGTACGATGTGTCGAGGGAAGGTCAGATGACGCCGAACGCGTCTGCAGGTTGCGGATAGTGGGACATCCACCAGAGATGAGGTCTGTCTGCAAAATAAGCGGAGAACCCGACGAATAAGCACTCGCGGACAACGTGAC